GAAAGAAGCAGCTGGAAACGGACGGTCTTCTGAAATTGTTGAAGTTGAAGCTCGAAATTTGGGTTCTTCTTCAAGTGTCGTACAAGGCCCTGTCTTTGAAAGCAAAGAAGAGGACCAAACTGAGAGTGAAACGGATCACGAAGACGACATAGAGATCATAGAGGAACAACAACCCAATGTGGCTGTTGCTACTGCGAGTTTAATCGAAGAGAAAGTAGAAGAAATTGTGGAAGAATACGAAAAGGAACTGGGTCAAGAAGAGGAGCTGAAGCCCATGAAGGATCATATAGATCTTGATTCGCAAACAAAGAAGGCTTCCGGAAGAGATTTTAAGGAGATTGCTGGGAGTTTCTGGTCAGCTGCTTCAGTTTTCAGTAAGAAATTGCAAAAATGGAGGCAAAAGCAGAAGCTGAAAAAGAGGAGTAATGGAGGTGGTTCAGCGAGATTGCCAGTGGAGAAGCCGATTGGGAGGCAATACAGAGAAACCCAGTCAGAAATTGCGGATTATGGGTTCGGGAGAAGGTCTTGTGATACGGATCCAAGGTTTTCACTTGATGCTGGGAGGATGTCGTTTGATGCAGCAAGGATATCGTTTGATGATCCAAGATATTCCTTTGATGAACCAAGAGCTTCTTGGGATGGGTATTTGACTGGGAGAACTTTTCCAAGAATGCCCACAATGGTTTCTGTTGTGGAAGATGCTCCAGTTCATCATGTCATGAGGTCTGATACACAAATCCCTGTGGAGGATCCGCCGGCTATGAATTCTATTAATGAGGATGAATCTGTTCCTGGAGGGTCAGCTCAGACAAGGGATTATTATTCTGATTCTTCTTCTAGGAGACGAAAGAGTCTTGATAGGTCCAATTCTATTAGGAAGACTGCCGCAGCCGTAGTAGCTGAGATCGATGAAATGAAGTCGGTTTCCAATGCAAAGGTTTCTCCTGCAACTGTTGATTACGTCCATGGACCTAAACTTGTGCCGGACAGGGATTCCAGGGATTCAAACTCGAATTCTTTGAGGGATGATTATTCTGAGACTTTTGAGATTGGCTTCAGAGACAGTGCGTCTGTGATTGGGAATGGGGAACGGAAAGGGTCGTCTAAGAAGTCACGGAGGTGGAGTAAAGCATGGAACATTTGGGGGTTTATTCACAGGAGGAGTGTTAACAAAGATGAGGATGAAGATAGGTATAGTAGAGCTAATGGTGTGGAGAGGTCGTACTCAGAATCTTGGCCTGAGTTGAGAGGGGAACGGAATGGTGATGTCAGGGGGGGTTTCAATCCAAAGGTTTTGAGGAGCAATAGCAGCGTAAGCTGGAGGAATTCGAGCAGTTTTGGTGGGTCGTTCGGTGGTGCAAGGAAGAACCATGTGGACACAAATGGGCATAGTAAGAAGAAGAGAGATGAGTTCGGCTTGGAGAGGAATAGGAGTGCAAGATATTCGCCAAATAACATTGACAATGGACTGTTAAGGTTCTACTTGACGCCGCTGAGGAGCAGCCGGAGAGGTGGGTCAGGCAAAAGCAGGGCAAGCCATGCACATTCTATTGCGAGGAGCGTACTGAGGTTGTACTGAATTTGAGATTCACAAGGTGTTTCTTTTGGTTTAATGTTGTTAATTTTGCTGCATTTGTTGTGTAACCACACATTGCCTATGTATTCTTGCTGGTTGGTTGGATAAAAAAAGCACCCTAAAATTGTTGCCTTTCTTGTGAGTGGCATGCTTCTTCCCACTATTCAAATAACGAAATTTTCTGTGTTTCTTGTTTCTAATCACATTTTGCTAGTTGTTTTTGATTCTTCCCCCATTCCTCTGCTCTCTGTTCTTCTGATCTCTTTTACCATCAAAAGTCTTGGACATACAGAATATATGTGCAGATGAATTAGAGATGTGTTTCCCTTGTAGTCAGTTTGGTGTCTGTTGTATCTTTGTCTCACCTAGAGTTGGCTGATGATAGGTGGTGAAGGCTGCAAACATTTTGTAAGAGTATGTTACTCTATTCATTTGGCATGTTGTGTACTGTTGTGGAAGTGGGTGAGGGTGTGGGCTCATGCCCCCCTTGAAGTTGCTAGTTGTCACGAATCAATCCATACAAGACAACAGATACGGCCAACTTATGCCCTTCGTCCATATCAACTAATTTTACACTAGACTTACATGCATGCCTTGTAATAGTGCAATCTCTGAATAAGAACTTGCTCGATCTGGGTCCTTATATTAGCTTCGGGATCATCATCCTACTGCAAATTTGTTGTGGTTCAACTTCTTTGATTGACCTAACCTAATGGATTCTCTGAAATGGTTTCAGCACAGTGGTAAACCTTTGCTTTTCTGAATGTTTCTTTGGAGTTTGGCGCTTCTGCTAGTTGCATACTTAGCAGCCATGGAGCTTCCATGGCCAGTTTCTTTCAATCTGCAAGGTGGCCTGAACAAAGTTCAGAGCTTCAATGGTTCACTTTCCCTCCCCAATACATGCAATGACAGAAAGTGTAAATGTTAGGCAGAGAGCCAACATGGTCAAAACTCCAAAATAAACTGTCATGAAGAACAACAAATTAGTGCATGAATTGTCCCAAGAAACTTTCCAGCCCCATTACTCCATTGGCCAAAAAAAAAGAAAAACAGAAACGAAGCTAAGCAATGATTATCTATTCCCCAATTAACAAAGGTTAAATCTTTCCCCCTTCTTACCGGGATGCCAAAGGAATCTCACCCGAATCAACCATTTTTTTTCAGTCAAAGAGTGTTGAGATCATGCTTTCTCCTTTTCTCTAAACATGTAGAAAAGCTCCATCATCAACCCAGGTTTTTTTGCCTCTAAAGTCAAAAGGTGACTAGGAAAACATCCCAGCATGTTCCTTCATGGAGGAGATAAAGAAAAGGAAAGAAAGAAAAAAAAAAAAGAAGAAGCTCAAAACCCAATGGTTGGCTTGTCTGAGAAACTAGCAAACGAAGCCAAAACACGAAGTGGGTTGCAATAATTTGTTTAAGATAATTGGAAGCCTATTTGTCAACGTTTGTACACTTACTGGCTGACCTCCAGGATTGAGAAACATGGGGATTAGGACTAGGGTTTGAACTTTTCTGTCCTATTTGGACTAATTCAGTTTGTTGGATACACAGCTATGACTAAACCCAAAGAGTTTTGAGTTGGTGTAACTTTTGTGGGGACAGAACTTCTCCACAGACAGTTAATTGAGAATTGTTACCTGACAAAAATCGAAACTACAAAAGATGTAGATGGAGTTTTACTTTATTATGGGAAGGTTGTAAGCCTAAACTTGCCCATAATGAGCCTACTAATGTTCACCTGGCCCAATGACAATTGATCCCATTCATGAACCCACTTCAGATCCAATCTGGCCCAAGAATGGCCACTTGACTACATTGGACTGCTACTAGACAATTCTTGAGCCCATTTTAGGTCCAAACTGGCCCAAACTTAGCCTACATTTCAAGGTGGCTAGCCCATACTTGAGCCCACATCGGCCCTACCCTTCAAAATTTTCAATTTCTCTTATTTTCTGGTCGTCGGCGGCGGCGGGAAAGCATTTCTCAGCGGGAAATAGCTCAACGGTGAGCCTAAGGAATGCCGAAAACCACCATCTTTTCCATGGCCGAGTTCCCCAAAAACCTCTCACCAAAGCGAGTTCTCAAGCTCCTCAAATCAGAGAAAAACATCCACTCTGCACTTGCTCTCTTCGACTCAGCAACTCGCCACCCGGGTTACACCCACTCACCCGACGTTTTCCACCACATGCTACGTCGACTAGTCGACTCCAGGCTCGTTTCCCACGTTTCTAGGATCGTCCAAGTCATTCAAACCCAGAAATGTAACTGCCCAGAAGACGTGGCTTTAACGGTGATAAAAGCCTATGCCAAAAACTCAATGCCCGAGAAAGCACTAGATTCCTTCCAACGAATGAAGCGAATTTTTGGTTGTGAACCTGGGATTCGATCTTACAACACTTTACTTAACGCTTTTGCTGAGTCGAATCGTTGGGAACAAGCTGAGTCGTTTTTTAAGTACTTTGAAACAGTGGGCGTAAAGCCAAATTTGCAAACTTACAATATTTTAATTAAGATTGCGTGTAGAAAGGAGCATTTTGAGAAGGCGAAGCGGTTATTGGATTGGATTTGGAAAATGGGTTTTCATCCTAACGTGCAAAGCTATGGGACTTTGATTAATGGGCTTGTCAAAGGCGGGAAGTTGGTGGTTGCAATGGAAGTGTTCGATGAAATGGTTACCAGAAAAGTTACCCCTGATGTTATGTGCTATAATATATTAATTGATGGTTTTTTCAAAAAAGGAGATTTTGTGAAGGCAAATGAGGTTTGGGAGAGGTTGTTGGAAGATTCTTCTGCTTATCCGGATTCCGTTACTTATAATGTTATGATTAATGGTTTGTGCAAATGTGGCAAGTTTGATGAGTGTTTGAGGCTATGGGACAGGATGAAGAAGAATGAAAGAGAGAAGGATCTGTTTACTTATAGTAGTATGATACATGGATTGTGTCAGGCAGGGAAGGTTGATGGTGCTGAGAGAGTTTATAAAGAGATGGTTCAAAGTGGGGTATTGGTTGATGTGGTTACTTATAATGCAATGCTTAATGGGTATTGTAAAGCTGGGAAATTTCAAGAGTGTTTTGAGTTGTGGAAGCTGATGGAAAAGGAGGGTTGTATAAATGTTGTTAGTTTTGATATATTGATTAGAGGGTTGTTAGAGAATGGAAAGGTGGATGAAGCGATTTCTACATGGCGGATCTTGCCTGAGAGAGGTTGCAATGCTGAAGCTTCAACTTATGGAGTTTTGATTCATGGATTGTGTAAGAATGGCTACTTAAAAAAAGCTTTAGAAATATTGAAAGAGGCTGAACTTGGGGGAGGTAAATTGGATAGCTTTGGATATTCCTCAATAATTGATGGGTTCTGCAAACAAGGGAGACTAGACGAAGTAGTTGGTTTAATCAGTCAGATGGTTAAGTGTGGCTGTAAACTGAATCCTTACACTTGCAATCCCATAATTCATGGTTTTATCCAAGCATCCAGACTAGACGATGCGGTTCAATTTTTCAAGGGAATGGACTCAATGGGTTACTCTCCTACTGTTGCCTCATATAATATTCTCATTTCTGGTTTGTGTAAAGCAGAAAGATTTGGAGAGGCGTACTGTTTTTTGCAGGAAATGTTAGGGAAAGGGTGGAAACCTGACATGATCACCTACAGCTCGTTGATGAAAGGTCTTTTCTTAGGAAAGAATGTTGACATGGCACTCAGCTTATGGCACCATGTGCTTGACAAGGCCTTCAAGCCTGATGTAATTATGCACAATATTATCATTCATGGCCTTTGCTCTGTTGGCAAAGTCAAGGATGCATTACAGCTCTACTCAAAGATGCGGAAAAGGAACTGTGCTCCGAATCTTGTAACCCATAATACAATCATGGAAGGGCTTTACAAAGCTGGAGAATATGAGAAGGCATCAGAGATCTGGACCCGAATTTCAAGTGATGGACTACAGCCAGATATTATTTCTTATAACATTACTCTCAAGGGGCTTTGTTCTTGTGGTAAGATACAAGATGCACTTGGCTTCTTGGATGATGCTTTAGAGCGTGGAATTGTTCCTACTGTCATTACATGGAACATTCTTGTCAGGGCAGTGCTTTAGGATTTGCATGCAGTTAAGTTCCCTATTGAAAGAGTCATACTTCTCTAGTTGGCGGTTCAAAATATTAGGCAACTCTTCGCCACCTCAAGAATTTTGAAGACCAGTCTTTGAACTACATAACTTTAAGAGAGAGATCCTAAGTTCTGGGATCAAGAACTGCTATCTTCATCATTCCAGGGATTCACCAGACGTGCATGTGAGGATGGTTTTTGCCAGGAAAATTCTTTCAAAGTGATCGGAGGTATGGATGCATGAGCACCTAAAGGTCATGTTCCTTCAAATGGCTTTTGTTCTTCCTTTCTTGTTTGTGATTTGTTCCCCTTTCCAACTGTTAACCAATTGCTTTTTAAGATCGTGCGGATTCTTGCGGGCTGGATTTACGCTCTTTTAGAGTTTAGATATCTTGACATGAAACCACAGTTACCTATTTGACCAAAGGTTAGTCCTCCAATCCTAGTTGGCTATTAGATTTGTTGTTTTCCAATAGGATGAGTGAGAGAAGCTTCATAAAGCATCAGATTTGGTAACTCACTTCGGTTTTGGTGATTGCAGCTATATCACTAAGATCGGATGTTGACGATGCAAAAATAAAGTTGCTTGATGTATCAAACCCAAGTATTAAGTTATTACTTGGGGTTATTGGATCAAGTCATATGTGCCTAAATAATTATGGATTACAGCTTTACAGCAGAAGTTTGTTAGATTAGATATAAGAAAAGCCTTTACTTCTTGTTTTCATCCTTCTTTTCTGATTTTTCTGCTTCGGATAACAATGTCTGTTCATAGGTGAACTGAGAAAATAAAGCAACTAAAATAGCTCCAAGAACTGCAACTTTTCTCCAATCAGATGAAGAGATGAAAGAGTCTGCAATTGCAATGACTAGAAGTGCAATTAGAGCAAGGTAAATGTTCCTCCGCACTTTTGACCCCGCCTTTTCTTTTGTAATCTCTTTAATCTTCTCTGCTTCTTGCTTAGCTTTTGCCTTGTCTACTGGCTTTTTCTCCGTTAGGTTCTTAAAGAACAACCCTTCATTCCTATCTTTCTCAATTTGGCCTTCGAACTGCGCTAACTGGCCTTCATTCTTCTCAATCTCCTGCCTATTCATTTCTTGGGATTCTTCAAAGGCTTGCATCTGGCTCTCAATGTTCTCCATTATCTGCTTATAACAAATGAAACAAGAAGTGAGTTATCAGGCAAAATTGCATGTCAACCAAGAACTTTCTTATTTCCTCTACTTAACATAGACCCTACCCGCTCACCGGCTTCTTCAAGCCCTTTGAGAGCATCTTCTCCAACTTTATCAAAGTCAGCATTGACTTCTTCAGCAAACTGGTTGAGATAAGCAGATCTTTCATCTAGGTAGTCAGTGAGACGAACTTTTTGAGCCTGTAGCATTGCTATCTGGGCAAGCAGCTCTTGCTTACGAGTGTCTCCGTCTGAGGACTGGGGATCAGAATCAGACTCAGAATCACTGGACTTGCTGAGACACAGGATGGAACTCTTCCTACTGTAAGCAAATCTTCTTGTGTGGAATAGGGCATGCTTACTGGGCGTAGAGGAGGCTTGGATGGCCTTCAGGGCAATCATCTTTTTCCTGTCTTTTCTCAAGCCGAGAAGGAGAGACAAGATGCTTTAAGCTAGTATGTTGTATATAAGCAGGAAGGTATTTTGAACCTCTCATTTTGTTTACATTATCCACTATTTGGCTATAAATTATAGAGAAAGTCCATTTGTCGAGCAGTGTGCAATTACCATTTTATTTCCTGCTCTCTAACTCTAGCCACCGCCACTTGTTGGCAATGGGCACAAGTGTAAAGGCATGGGAGCTAGTTAAGTTCAAATTTAGTCAGCCTGGACATGTTAAGATAAATTAGTACAAGAGTAAAATTGCACCAATTATCCATGATTGTTTTATAATACTTTCTTTTCATTTTTAATTTTTAAATTTATTAACATATTTCATCAACAAAATATGTCACTTTAACATCACATAGATGTTTATCTAATATAAACTTTAATTAAAAAAAAATCAATCGGATTTATCTCTTTTATATTTGGTCATATTTATTTTGTTTGGTCATATTTATTTTGTCACAAACATTCACATGATTAAGATTTATGTCACGTGCACATTCATTTAAATTTTTTTTTAAAAGATTGCAGATTCAAAAAATTGGGTTTTAAAAATTATAAATGAAATTGGATGCTTAGAATTGGAGAGAGAATTGATGCTTTGAAGCTAGAAATATTAAAATTGGAAAAGCAAAGTTATGGCGTCATTTTCAGGTGAGAAGCTCTTCCCAGGCACGCCTTGGAAATGGGAGCAAGAGAGCACCAAAAGAATTATTGCAAATCAAATCAAATCAAATCAATCATCAAACAGAAAATATCTGCAATTTAATTTGAACCAATTAAATATAGCAGTCATCCCTGCCCTAGATTGAGAATTAAATGTGATGTAACAATATTTACAAGTACTCATTCTTCTTTAAAACAATCAAGCAAACTAAGAGTAAATCTTAACAAATCAGCAAATTCCACAAATAGTAATACTAAACTGAAATCTCCAAAGCAGGAGGTAATTTCAATGGGGCCATCTTGCTCTTGGCGTTCCTAGGATTTACAGTGTCAATAAGGGCGTCCCGTTGCCTTTTTGTATGTATACCACCTTGCAATCCATAGATAGACCAAGAAGTTAACCAGGCTGAGGATAGCCAAGAGCCAGTAGAAATAGTCAAGATGACCCCGGTTCAGGTTATCCGGGATCCATCCAAGCTTCCCATCCTTTGTGGTCACTTTACTCACAATGGTAACGAGCAAAGTGCTCAGATAATTGCCTAATGCAACAGTAGTTAGCGAGAGGGCTGAGCACATGCTTCTCATAGCATCAGGTGCCTGATCATAGAAAAACTCCAGCTGTCCAATGAATGTGAAAACCTCTGCACATCCGATTAGGAAATATTGTGGGACTTGCCAGAAAATTGACACGGGGATGTACTCAAGATCATAGTAGTTGTTCTTCCTGACAATCTTGAGCCGGACCACCTCCAAGATACCTGCAGCGACCATTGAGAAGATAGAAATGACAAGGCCAATCCCCATTCGTTGGAGCTGAGTGAAGCCTCGCTCCTTGCCAGTGAATTTCCTTACATATGGGACAATGATTCTGTCATAGACAGGAGCCCAAAAGATAACACTAAGAGTATCGAAGAGGGAGAGGGATGCGGAAGGGATCTTGAAGTGCGGGCCCATGTGTTGATCCATTGTGTTGCCTTGTAAAACAAACATAGTGCTCATTTGACTGTATACAGTAGAGAACACAATTCCAGATGCCCAGATTGGAAGCAACCTGATAATGGATTTGAGCTCCTCAACTTGAGTTACTGTGCACAGTCTCCATGGATTTACCGAGCCCTTAACATAGTCAGTTTGGGTCTCTACAGCAGCTTTGTCAAAGAACCTGTAATCTTAAATCATCAGTGACTAGATTAACAATCAAATTTGCAACTAAAAGATCAAATTAGACCGAATAAAAAGCGAGGGTGGTGTATGTAGACAAAGTATAAGCAGGGATGGTGATAATGCTGATAAAAGAAAATATGTTCAGCAATGAAATTCCACAAGGGTCGAGCTTTAACAACATACTTTAACTTATCCGTGTGCTCTAGTTTTCGGCTTCCTTGAATACTGCATTCCTGGTCAGCAGTCTCATAAAGAAGGGATTCATGAGCAGGGACTTTCACCTTAAGTTTTCTAAAGGATGAAACTATAACCTGAAATATCCTCGTAAGTGGACTTCCCCCAGGTTTTTGGAGGCGATACATTCGACTACCAGAAAAGAAGAATACAACCGCAATGGCCATTGCAGTTGCTGGGATTCCAAAACCCCAGCCCCAGCCCACATTCATTTGTATCCATACTAGAACTGAGGAAGCGACAAGTGCTCCAATATTGATTGAGAAGTAAAACCAGTTAAAGAAAGAGCTCTTCTTCTTCCTCTCAATTTCGTCAGTTTCATCAAACTGATCAGCACCAAAGGACGAGACACATGGCTTAATTCCACCAGTACCAAGAGCAATCATGTATAAGGCTACAAAGAAGACTGAAGATTGTGATGCTGTTGGGTGGCAGACATCCCCATTGCATGATGGCTTTAGTCCATTGACAGAAGCAGAAAATGTTAAGAGTGTCATACCCTTCAAGAAAAAAGATAATCAGTCAAGACATTGAGTAAATTTATATTCAAATAAACTATAGAACTCCCGCAATCTAGCCTCTATAAGATGCCATCAGCATAAGCATTCTGAGCCTTTAAGTACCACATAGATTGAAAAAAGGGAAGGAAAATTCTGTGTTTAAGCCAAACTTACAAGGACATAGATGATTGAGAAACCGGCAATTGTCCAATATCTTCCCAAATATGCATCAGCTAGAAAAGCCCCAATCAACGGTGTAATGTAGCAGGTGCCTGACCAATTTGTGACATTGTTTGATGCAGTGACATTTCCCTGATTGAGACGCTGTTCAAGATAATTCACCAGATTGGTCCCCATCCCATAGTATGCCAAACGTTCACAACATTCATTTCCTGATAAAATTTTAGAGTTCAAAAAATGCAAAGCAAATCAGGAGCCAAATATGAGGCCAAAAAAATAAACATATATATAATGTATATATTTAAAAAACAAGGATGAAAACGAAAAAAGCTTGAAATCATACCAAGAATGAATCGGCAGGCTTTCCAATTCCCTGTTTTACTCTTGTTGGCAGGATTCTTATGGATATCCACTGTCCCATCATTTGTATAGATATCATCTTCTCCCATCTTATCTATGGAGCAACCTCTCTACCCTTGGAGTCTTGGAATCAATCTGCTTTTAAAAGGAATATCAGCAAAGTCAGCAGTTATATCATGAAACTAATGAAAGAATCACTAGCAACAAAAACCGAAACAGAATTAATATTTCATCATCTTAAGAACTTAAGCAAGTACCCTGATACATGAAGGAACACTGGAATTTTAAAATTGGCAAAGTATTCTCTTTCCAGCATTCAATCACTGGCAATAACAGGGCATAATCTTACTTAATGCTCACATCACTAACCTTTAAAATAAAATATTAGAGCACTTATGCATGTGGCCTTTGCCAACTAAACTAATTCCCAACTAATCTCATAAAATCTGGTCATACCAAAGTCCTGTACTCATTAACTTCTAGTAACCAATGCCAATTGCCGAGTAGGCAAGGCACACTCTTCAACTCCAAATAAGAAAAAACAAATAGAATTAAAAGAATGGCAATCTCTTCAAGTCTTCAAAAACGTCTTGAAATCAGCAAAACAGAAATAAAATACTATGCACTAGAAGAAAGCGCATCAATTTGAATCACAGTCAGCGAAAGGCTAAGAGGGAAAGGGCACAAATTGCTATGGTTGTTTAATATAATATTGTATAAGAAAAATAGTCGATAGCAACACCCAACAAAGGAAATCCAAATAGAACAAAATAAAAAATCACTGCAGGACAAAATAGGCCATAATCTACTGGCAAGAGAATCCAAAAATTAGTATTACATGATTTGAAATTCACATAAACAAACAACAGAACCCTTAAGCCTAAGCCAACAGTTGCCAAGGTTAAAACTCCATTAATGAAGAACAAGATGATGGAAACCTGCAACCTAAAAACTGACAATATTTCCTCATGGTTTCTAGCCAAGGCAAAGAAAATCTGCTGAGTACTGATATAAGCTTAAAAGAAGACACTGAAAAAGGAAAAGAAAGAAAAACGAAACCATCGTTGACGAAACGGAGATATTATAAAAATAACCCAAGCCATAACGAATCTGCGTGTTGTTAATCTCAGATCCACGAAAACTTCATTGAAACGTTCAGCAGGAAATAATTCAAGAAGAAAAACCCAGAAGGCCATGTTTTTTGACATGCATGCAAAGAGCAGAACAAGACGGAAAACACAAACCAGGAAAACAGTGGAGGTTTTCGAGACAACAGAAACAAAACAAGTGTTGGGAATGTGATGAAGAGTGATGAGAGAGTTGAGATGTGCATACCCTTCTGAGAGAGAAGTGTAGGAGAGACAACAGAAGAGGGAAGTGTAAACAGTAGTTTATACGAGAGAAACCAGGGCACGGAAGGGAAGCCCGGTTCCCACTCGTGCACACAGCAACAAGGTCTAGGAATTCAAGTCAGAGCCAATCTGTCACCAAGTTGGCTTTTCTTTTTCCCCATGATTTGCCTTAATAATCTTTGCAGAAGATGCAAAAAGCGAAAAGTTGGGATTCTGTGCGATCCTAGTCCCTAACTATTTGGTATTTGCACTTGGCATTAATGTTTTTGTCGTAGTTTTTTTTACTAAAATAATTAAAATCCCAAAACTATTTGAGTTTATGCAATTGACTTTCTATATTTTTATTGTATTCAAAGAGATTTTTAATTTTTTATTATATCCACAAAATCTACTTTATCTATTACTTGAATATTGAATTTAAATATTATAATCTAGCATTAAATTTCGATGAGTTATCTTGATTTTTAAATTTATTTATAAATGAGATGATAGCATTTGATTAATTAACAGTGATCAATATTATGCATTTCAGCATTTAACTTATTAGTTAGTACATGATCTCTTTATCTAAAACTCGAATCCCCTCTCTTTCAATTATAAAAAAAATCAATATTATACATTATAAATGCATAAAATAATAATATATTGCTTTGAAATAAAACTACTCCAAATAGTGTGTAAATGTAAATAAAAAAGGACTAAAGGACTAAATAGATAATATACCAAATTCATCAGGGGCTAATGTCAAAAATCAGAAATACTGATTAGCTGCAAAATGCTTCCTCCTAAGCTTGAAGAATCTTGCCATTTGGTTGACCTTTGTATTTATTTACTACCAAAAATGGAAAACTACCCCTTTTTTTGGTCGAATTTGCATTGGTTTTTTCTGTTTAACTTGGACCCAATGGTTCGAAATCTGTTCACATTAAGATAGTAATGCCAACAATTCTTTCATCTAAGGTATGATGACCCAAATATTTCCTTTTTCCCATAATCTTTAGCTTTTTGATTTGGGTATGACATTTTCCAAATCAAAGTAAGTTCAAGATTCTCTAGGATAAGGGTTTTGGTAAAAGAATCTGTTTGTTTTGACAGTGTTTTGATCTTCTACGGGATCTTCTTCTATCTTTTGGAGGTGTCTGAAATCATTGTGCTGGACATGAGAACATCACCTGGCATAGCTTGGCACTTGGCTGCAACCTGGAAAACGTTTCCTTGTTCAATCAAAACAGTTGGTTTGAAATCCTTTGATTGGATACCCAGATCTGGAAAGGTCCAGTTCATATTTATATTCATCCATACCTGTGCATTTCTTTACTGTTTGTTTAAGAATATGCTTATAGCATAGACAGCTATTGATGTCAACTTTGAAAGACTCATTGAAAGTATGGAAACCATAAGCACGAAATTGACTTTGGCAGACATTGTGGGAGTAGAATTGGCTTCATGCTCCATTTTTTCGTGGGATTACTTTATCTGTTTTGCTAGCGTCCAAGTAAATGATTCATTTTGATTCAAAATAGAGTCATAAAAAATCCGAATTCTATTCATTTTAAAAAGTGAATCATTCATTATTTATTAAGTCAAATACTCAAACTTGTTATACATTGTTTTTATTTATTTGTCTTTTTATATAATCTTTTGAAAGTAAGAGTGTAAACATGAATTTCTTATTGCAAAAAGTTAGAGAGGCCAAGGCCCCCAGCTTGGATTTGGAGGTTGTTCACATTATCATGCGTATCTTTTTCAAATTTTAAAGCAGGTCGGCTGATGTAGCACTGATCCATTGCTTGACCCCATTTCCCTTGTTTAAGTTGCTTTTCTTGATAACCATAGTTTTGCCTGATTTTGACAAGGGTTTGTGCTATATGCTGTTGTACCTATCCTTATAATCGGGTAATGCTTACATCTATTCTGCGTAATAAGATCAAATTATGATAAAATTAAATTCACAAGTTGATTGTACGGATGTTCAATTTTAAATCATTGAATAATGTTTTTTTTTTTCGTGTAAAGATTATAAATTTATCACGTGAAATGAATTAATAAAGAAAAAAAATTATAAATGAATAAATTTGTTTACGTTAAAACTTACAAAATTTAATACCAGAATTGTCATGGCACTGGTACTAGAAGTACAATAGTAGTTTTATAAATCAGAGACTCATCAGGAGGGATTTTTTTTTTTTGGCTGACATAATTTAAAATTAATGAGAACATGCAAATTTAGTTGATGGATAGAACTGGCTTCTTGTAAGTGTACGACCTGGCAAGCATAAGGTAGGCTCCCAAATTGGAAAAAGTAGTGAAGATGACCATAGTTCAAGTTGTCTGGTATCCAGCTAGGATTACCGTGCCTGGTGCTGAAATCTGTCACGATATTGACAAGAAATGTGCTCAGATAGTTTCCCAAGGCAGCTGTTGTAAGTGAGAGAGCAGAGCACAGGCTCCTCATGGCATCTGGGGCTTGCTCATTGAAGAACTCCAATTGCCCAATGAAGGTGAAAACTTCAGCACAGCCTATGATGAAGTACTGGGGAACCTGCCAAAATATTGACATCGGCATGTGCCTAAGCTCGTAGTAATTGTGCTTCTTCACTTGGCGGAGCCTGACAAGCTCCAAAGTGCCTGCAGCCAACATGGCAAAGATGGAGATGACAAGGCCAATTGCTATGCGTTGAAGTTGAGTGAATCCATTTTCATGGCCGGTGAACTTTCTCGCGAGTGGAACAATGAAACGGTCATACACTGGAACCCAGAAGATGACACTGATTGTGTCGAAGAGGGAAAGTGAAGCTGAAGGGATCTCGAATGATCCTCCCATGTGAAGGTCCATAGTGTTGCCTTGCAGGACGAATAATGTGCCCATTTTTTTTTTTGAAAAGTGATGATATTATTAAAAGTCTCATATGGGAGACAAAAGATAAGCTGCAATGGCTTACAAAACCAAAAAGAGCCCTTGGCCTAAGGGCTGGCAAAAATCAGATGGTTTGTGATAATGCCAACGATAAGGTACATCAGTTGATCATTCATCTTACAATAACATTGGATGCATCGAACTAAGAACAACAGCATTGACTTAATAGAACAACAGCATTGACTTAATAAAACAAGAGTCCATTTAAACGTTTTCCACCCCCAAATCAAATAATGTGCCCATTTGACTGTATACAGCAGAAAAGATTATACCTGTGGCCCATACAGGAAGTAATCTTATGATGGATTTAAGCTCTTCAACTTGAGTTACAGTGCACATTCTCCATGGATTTATGGATCCTTTGATTCGATCAGATGAAGTCTCCACAGCTGCCTTGTCAAAGAAACTAGGGAAGATAGATAAAAGCAATTAGTAGATGCCACTATCCACAATTAGACAAAAGAAAATGTTCATTTGTAATCCTAATGATTATTTTCTATACCTCAACTGCTTTGTGTGATCAAGCTTTCGGCTTCCTTTGACAGCAGATTCCTTATCCGCAGTCTCACATAAAAGAGACTTGTCAGCAGGTACTTCTACCCGAACTTTCCTGAAGGAAGCAACTAGAACCTGGAAGATGCGGGTCAGGGGACTCCCTCCTGGCTTCTGGTTTCTGTACAGCCTAGTACTTGAAAAGAAACTTGCAACTGCAATCGCCATGGCAACAGCTGGAATGCCAAAGCCCCAAGCCCATCCTTCATTGGTTTGTATCCAGACAAGGATGGAAGCAGCAACAAGGGCACCAATATTGATTGAAAAATAGAACCATTTGAAGAAAGAGCTCTTCTTTTTCTTTTCTGTCTTAGCAGAGTCATCGAACTGATCTGCACCAAAGGATGAAACACAAGGTTTAATCCCTCCGGTTCCCAGGGCTATCAAGTACAGTCCTAGAAAGAACACTCCAGTTTGCAATCCCGTCGGATGGCAAAGGTTGTTTTCGCAAGCTGGTTTTAGACCATGAATAGATGCTGACATTGTCAACATCGTCATTCCCTGCAACGAGTTACACAACATTAACTCGGTCTCAAGATCCAGGAAAACACCAATACATAATCATCAGATGAACTTACAAGAACATAGATGATGGAGAAACTAGCAATTGTCCAGTATCTTCCCAAATAGGCATCAGCTAGAAATGCTCCAATTAGCGTCATGACATAGCATGTTCCTGACCAATTCGTGACATTACTAACAGCTGCAACATTTCGCTGGTTGAGTTGGAATTTGAGATAGTTAACCAAGTTTGTGTTAATCCCGTAGTATGCCAATCTTTCGCAGCATTCATTTTCTGTTTGTATGCATTGATTATTTCTCAAGGTCATTGAACAAGACAACTGATCATATATACAACCAAGATCAGCAAATGACATACAATTCGACTTATTACACCTAGGATGTACGGACATGCTTTCCATGTCCCTGTCTTATTCCTGATGGCCGGTTTGTTGCGTAAGTCAGTTGTTCCATCCTTGGTATAGATATCTGCTTCTGCCATTTAGAATTCTTAAACCCCAAGATTTCACTATTTTTTGGTGTATTTTTTTCGTGACTTCGACTCCTTTCCTGCTTTGCTGCCAACTATCCGAAACCATTAACAAAACAAAAGTGGATAACCATTTCAATTGTAAAAAATTTTACTCTACTGATGAAAGTTAAGCTTAGTAGCAGCTATAGGAGTAAACAATTCATTCAAGTAACAGAGACATGCCAAAGTGGTCAGAACTGCCTCAGACAGAACAGGGATCTGGATCATAGAAACTAGTAAATCAATGGAATTTCCAGTGGAATGAACTATATAATTTTGAATCTCTATCAAGGCAAAGTGCTCTTTCAAACTCAGTTGAGAAAATAGAATTTCCAGATAAAAAGATTAATGCAGCAATGAAGGTTGGATTTCTCACCTGATTTCTTGAAGAATTTCTCCCTATTTCAAACCTTTGTTTTAAGAAGTTTGACTTCAACTTGGTGGCTTTGAGCTCAAGTGAATCATTCCCCCAGCAATTTTATACCCCTGGAGCCAAGTTATCACTTTATAAGCAGCCCAGATAAGATTTCACTTCATTATAAATGATCCTCAGAAAAAAATCATTTTCTCATTCATTTTATTTTTGTTTATTAACCTGTTTTTAAATGCTATGCTACTTTCTGTTTTTCCCAAAGCAGCTCCTTGGTCCTTTACAAAGCCAATCCTAGGTAGAGCCCTCATAATGGAAGTGTTTCGAGCTAAGTTGTAAGCTCATACATTTACTTCTGGAGCCATGTTTGGGCACACAATTCGATCAGCAGTGTCATTTTCTTGATGGCGGTCGTCATAGAATTGTGATACTACTTCCATTTGATGCGTGTTCAGTATTTTTTTCGCAATTTTGTATATATTTCATAGTATTATTTTCATCGTTAATTTATTTGTTTTCATTAATAAGATTTAGAATTTATACTCAAAAATTTAAAATTTTAAGTTGAGAAAAAAATTTAGAGTTTAAAAATTAAAATTTTAATTGACAGAATAAAATTGAATACATAATGTAAAATTATAAAATAAAATTTAAATAATATAGAGGATTTTTATTCGAAACAAATCATAAGTACCAATAAATTCAAGAACAGAGAAGCCTGGATTTATATTAGCCACATTCAATTCTCCTTCCCGAGCTTTTCCTGCCAGTAGCACACCTCCATACGAATGAGAATCAGGGCTAGCGACTGCCCACTGCAAAGGGTATCTGAAGCTTAGCTTTCATTGTGTTCAAATGTGTACTCACTACCCACAGATTGGGCAGTGCCAGTTGCTTTATGATACTGCAAGCCATTAATCAATCATTGGACTTGGCCTATCATGTCTAGTTAACATATTTCTTTTGTAATTGGTTCTTCACAGTAAATTTCCACATTGGATATCTATATGCCTTTGATTTTCAATTAATACTTTCTCTTTCCATTTCCATCAGAAAAAAAAAAACAAAATGGAGAAATAAACTTCTATGGTTAATGTTATTTAACCTAGCTTTTTCCTCCTTTTCCTCTCTTTATCTTTTTTTCTAAATTAGAGTAAAATGTGTAAATCATCTTCCTACCTATAGTTTTGTTTTGCCTATAGAAAATAGTGGGTGGGTTGGCTTTTGGTTCAGCTCCATTAGAAATGGTCCAAAAGATACTTATGCCCATAAAAAGCCCATCTAGACATGGCTTTGATTATGATTATTCTCACCTTTGCTTGCTGCAAAACTTGGGTATCCCTCCCTAAGCCAATCTAATTAGTAGTACAGACTTTTTCTATTTTATTTTGTTTTGTTAGATGACTTTCACTATTTGTTTAAAGAATTTATATATAATAATACAGTGTCATAGGATCGATTCTATTCATAATCTAGTGATATTATACATTTAACTGTGTATATAATACAAATTCTTATTTAAATTTAATATACAAGTCTTGAAAGTCCTCTTTGTAATTATCATATCTCACCAAGCATGTTTCCTTATAAGTTCTCTTCCATAATACAAATTAGGAATGAAATTTGATTTAAAAAAAGATTAAATCTCAAATCAATCGGTTAATGGCGCCTGAAAATGACAAGGTGAACTCCATGGGTACTTACTGACAGCTCCTCTCCACCTTCACTTACAATGTCGCTGCCAACATGGTCAACCACGCAAGACAGTTAATATTCTAGTTTCTTACATCCTAAGCAAATAAAGCCTGATAGCTCTGTCTTGCATGTTCATGGAGTCCATAAACAATTAGTCAAAGCTATTAAAAAAACCTATCCTGATCAAAGCTTAATCAAGCTCTGAGAGTGAAACAAAATCTACCCTTTTGGCCAGGAAAGACTTAGAGCCAATATGGGAAACTGGTTTTACTGGGTTTTTTTTTTTTTTCAATTTTGGACCAAGATTAAAGATTTTTCACGTGGCTTCAAACTTAGACTAGACGTGATTTGGACTCATTTCCAAACGAGTTCATCATAATCTGGCAGCTAACCTTTTGAGTCTAATGGCTACTTGGCTTCAAATGAGTAATCAACCAATTTAACAACTATTACCCAATTGGCTTTGGAAAACATTTAGAAGGAGAGAGGAAGGCAGATTCGGATACAATGGGTGGGAGTGGGAGTGGGAGGGGGAGTGGGGGGTGGAGTTTGTTTCTTGCTCTCGTTTGGTTTAGTCTTAGCTTTCAAACAAGCACATATACTCTACGTTGGGTTGGCATCTGATGGAGAACATGAAAGGTATTTCTCAACCATTTATTACTTTGGTTGAAAAGATAGCATCGGATTGCCATGCTAGCTACCCTGTATTCTTCTTCCTACGTTGCTTCTACCTATTTGCCATCTACACAACATGTACTTAAGCAATCTTAAATCATTGTTAGTCAAAAATTTGAATCGGAAGTCTCTTGCTTGACAAATTAGTGTAACTAAGCTCAAATTTGATTTGTTTTCTTTTTAATCTTGCTCTTTAAACTTTGTCAATCAGTGAGTTAAATGCTTGAATTCTGATAATATCAATTTAAAGTCATTCAAAACTCATTTATTATTGGATTGCACGTCTTAATTCTTGGGTGAGACCAAATAATCTGTCTAGGATTGAAAACCTGCTTTCAGGCTTCTGTTAAAAGAAGAATTAAAGAAAAGGCTGAGATGCCACAATCACCTGGCGTTGTGTTTGATGTTGTTTGGGATCCAACCCCCAAACCTAACATTGATGCCAGTGGAAAAAGTTGGGGTCAACCGGGAAAGAAAACAGCAGCATTGGACCAAAATACTCTTGTGTTTTCCCAAGAGTTGCAACGTCAAATTCATTTTCGTGGAGCTTAATCTTTGTCTAAAACCTCTAAGGAACATGGTGACGGACCACACCTTTCTGCTCACTGATGGTTTTCCTCGCTGTTCTTTGTCCCACGACAGCTTGAAAATGATGTGTCTTTCGACTACCTTTTCCCATTTTAAGGAAATTACCAGTAGTAAGAACTGATGTTTAACTGTTACATGTGCAGCTTGCACCATAGTCTCCAATCCTTATGCTACAGAAAGCTTTTCTTTGTACATTGTAATAAATTAAAGTTGAATCACTCTTCAAAATTGTTCCTTTCTGACTTGACCAGATCGGTCTAGTTCTCCCCATTTTAATCTTTTCTGTGTTAAATGATTCAAGTAGAGAATACCAAGTGGGACAAAAGATTTATCAGACAATATTGTGTCTTGGAGATGAATAGCTAAAAGGTGGTCCAAAAGGTAGACCATAAATTCCAACCAAACCAAATTTCTGATTAAGTTTGTAATTAACTGGAAACGGTATTAAGAGGTTTAATAACTTAGCTTCCAATTATGATTTGGTCCCTAAAAAACAACTTTATGTGCAATGCAAGAAATCATGGGAGAACCCCTAGGTATTCCTCAATAATTCTTGTTTCTAAAGGATACATTCATCCAATCCACCTAACCAAAGAAAAACGACATGGCAGCAATTGCTCCATGATTATCACCCTTTAAAAGGGTGGCGTAGTGAGCCATACATGACTGCAACAGGGCTGGAGGGAACAAAGTGATCAAACAATAATAAAAGAGAGAGGGAGAGAGCGAGAGCGAGAGAGAGAGGGAAGGAGAAAGACAAATCGAAAAGGGGAGAAAATGGACTCTTGGGTTCGAGGTTTAGTTCTTGTTGCATGCCTCTTTCCGGTTCTTGTCGACTGTGCAGTCCGAAACTACAAGTTTGATGTAAGTGCATTATTTATTTGTTTTGACCACATGTGTTTGGTTTGGAGCCACCTTGACTGAAAAGCAATGGTCTACACTCTGCAGCAGTAAAAATATGAGAACCTTTTCCTCTCTTGACATGGTTGATTTTCCACATAAACCATCTCTTCATACGTATATACGTACATGCATATTATCTGATGTTTGCTTGCCTAGGAAAAATCATATATCCAACTTAAAATAAGTGGTTCAGTTTCGGTACCAACTTTCTATTTTCTTCCTTTTTTTATGGTTCTGTTGTAAATTTTAGAACAAGCAATAATCATTTCTAACTAGGATATTTAGAATCAACCCCCACTTCAAACAAACAAACAAATGCATGAGTACATTGACGGTAAATTTCATCTACCTAGTAAGTGAGCTTGAGGTGCTGTAACATGCGCAGGTGGTACTGAAGAACAAAACTAGATTATGTTCAAGCAAGCCCATTGTCACCGTCAATGGTAAGTTCCCAGGGCCAACTTTATACGCCAGGGAAGGCGATACGGTACTTGTCAAAGTCGTCAACCATGTCAAATACAATGTTTCCATACACTGGTGAGAACCCAAATCCCTGTTTTTATCCCTGCAAAGATCGAGCACAGAACCCTTTTTTTCATTTGATTGCTCACTTAATTTGCAGGCATGGTGTCAGGCAGCTCCGAACAGGTTGGGCGGATGGGCCAGCATACATTACACAGTGTCCAATCCCGACAGGGCAAAGCTATGTATATAACTTTACCATCACTGGCCAAAGAGGCACACTGCTTTGGCATGCCCATATTCTCTGGCTAAGGTCCACAGTCCATGGCGCCATTGTTATCTTGCCTAAGCGCGGTGTGCCTTATCCATTCCCAAAACCCCACAAGGAAGTAGTTGTTATATTAGGTGAGCTCAAATTTTAGTTCATTGATGTGTGCCTTTCTACCAGTGATTAGCACCCAATTTCTATGGTCTGCTTAGTTATTCAAACTTGCACAAGTTGGAGTTAATCTAACTCAATGGTTTATTGCCAGCTGAGTGGTGGAAATCAGACACTGAAGCTGTGATCAATGAAGCACTCAAGTCTGGATTGGCTCCAAATGTCTCAGACGCTCACACCATAAATGGCCATCCAGGACCCGTCTCCAGTTGTCCTTCACAGGGTACTTCCCTCCCCTTTCTCCTCTCCAAATCGTATGATAGTAAAGATATTTGATGTAGAATCTGTTACAATCACACGCAGGAGGTTTCACATTGCCTGTTGAAAACGGCAAGACCTATCTGCTACGCCTTATCAATGCTGCACTCAATGAAGAGCTCTTCTTCAAAATTGCTGGGCACAAGCTGACTGTTGTGGAAGTTGACGCCACGTATGTTAAACCGTTCAAAACTAATACAGTTATAATTGCCCCAGGGCAAACCACCAACGTCCTTGTCTCCGCTGATAAAAATTCTGGCAAGTACCTGGTTACTGCCTCACCTTTTATGGACGCTCCAATTGCAGTGGATAACCTGACTGCAACAGCAACGTTGCACTACTCAGGCACACTTGACAACACCCCCACGACTCTCACTAGCCTAACACCAAAAAATGCAACTCCAGTTGCCAACAACTTTATAAACTCCCTTCGTGCCCTAAATTCCAAACAATACCCTGCCTTAGTCCCACAAAGTATTGATCACAAGCTTTTCTTCACTGTTGGACTGGGTATTAACCCTTGTCCTACTTGCAAGGCCGGTAATGGCAGCAGGGTGGTAGCTTCAATTAACAATGTGACATTCGTCATGCCTACCACAGCCTTGCTACAAGCACATTTCTTCAACATCAGTGGGGTTTTCACCACTGATTTCCCTGCAAACCCACCAAACGTGTTTAATTACTCTGGAACTCCACCAACAAATTTGCAGACAACAAATGGGACAAAGGTTTTCAGACTGGCTTATAACTCTACAGTTCAACTTGTTTTGCAAGATACGGCCATCGTAGCCCCAGAGAACCACCCAGTCCACTTGCATGGATTCAATTTCTTCGCCGTTGGTAGAGGACTTGGGAACTATAATCCAAAAACAGATCCTCAGAATTTTAATCTTGTTGATCCTGTTGAGAGGAACACAATTGGGGTACCAACTGGTGGATGGGTAGCTATCAGATTCCGTGCTGATAACCCAGGTACATTAACAATTTTGGTTTTGTTTTTTTCCCTTCCTCTTCATCCATGAACTTCTCTCTGATCTGAATTTCTTCTATTTGTTCCTGTTTCTTTTGTAAATTTTCAGGAGTTTGGTTCTTGCACTGCCATTTGGAAGTGCATACAACATGGGGGCTTAAGATGGCATTCTTGGTGGACAATGGAAAAGGTCCTAATCAGTCGCTTCTTCCTCCTCCAAGTGATCTTCCAAAATGTTAAACCAGGGGGACTATCTCCACCAGCAGAGAGACTTCCACATCGAAAAAGAGACGTGCAAAGAATGGGGAAAAGAGTTTCACATGCAGAAGAAAGACACTATTGAGACTGGAGCTATTTTATTTAATAAGCAAAGCAAGAGTTGAGATTGCATTGGTTTCTTGGGTAAATGAAAGAATTTACTCAAGCGTGCTTGAATAACATTTGTATAAGCATTTTTATTTTTTGGGGAATAAAATCACAGTCTTATTCAAATTCAAACATCTAAATAAGTAACGTAAACAAGGTACAGCAAGTATGCAATGGAAACTTCCTGTCTGAGATCTTTTATGCAACCCAAAATAAGTATGCAAGCCTCAGTACTCTTTCATGTATCAGAATGGCATGCCTTCCATCCATTAATATGACTCCATGGCAAAGTTCATTCAAACGATGGAGGATGCCCAATGCCCTCCAGAGAAAGCAGAGTAATAGTCATCCCATCTTGGGTAAAGAACTCACCCAGGTTTCTTTAGCCTGTGGCTCAAAGGATGAACTTAAGATGATTCACACAATCAGATGGAACACGCAACGATCCTGTTATTAATGTTTGTCTTGGATTTAGTTTCAGCATTGGTTTTTTTTTTTTTTTGATGATTCAAGCAAACTGACAGCCCAAGTTGAAGTTTATAAGCTAGTATTCATCCAGGGCATTTGGCTTTCACGGGATGGAAGATTTAAATCGTCAATATATAGTCTCATTCAACATGGGTGAGGAGGTATTTGAAAGGATTAAGTTGCCTGATTTCAATGGATTAGACCATGGAAAGGATAGAGGAATTGCTCTGATAAGGGAATCTCTTTCTGTCATTGTTTGTGAATGTGGAGTTTACGAGTCTTGGACTAAACTATTTACCAATGATAAAACCATGGCAGGTCCGAATTCCAATGTTTTCTATACGATCCTGGAACCCTAAGAACTAAGAATCTTCCCATTAATGGAAGTCCTTCCATGCATGATGCTCATAATTACATGGAGACCCTGGAATTTGTTATTGCAGGAGACGAAATTGCGGAAGAATTCCTCAATCTGCAATTAACAAGTTAGCCAACAGTTTCCAGGATTTGTCGTACATGTAATTATCAAGTTGCCAACTTTACAGGGTGCGTGATGGTGTTTCTGATAGCATTGAATCTTCGGCCCGTCTGTGGGCTATGGCTTCGCATAGCCTCGGTCTTGGGCTGCACCTCTCCCTTAAAATTTTCATCTGAAAAAGCCCATTGGTCGACTATCTATCTATTCACGGACCAAATAGGAAAAATGGAGGATGTGGCCTGTTTATTTCATTGTGTTTGTGGAAATTCTTGGAGGATTTTATACCTAAAAAGTCATGAAACTCTGTTTGCTTCTTAGGGTCGATAACTAATCAGTCACGCAATTGCTCGACTTTGTTGAAAACAGAAGCAAATAATTTAATATTAATCTAAAAACATAATCTTAATTTCATAATTAGAACGGTAAAATTTATAATCTATAAAATATATATAATTCTTCTTTTATATTCAATCAATCTTCAAAGTGATTGGTTAAATCATGTTAAACAATCAAATTTAGTTCCCACAAGAATTAAAGTCTACCCTAAAAGTATTGTCTATAAACAATAATACTTTGCTTATACCTTCCAATTATTGAAAACATGCCTTAATCACTACCAAGGCCATGAATTCTACCTTCCAATTCTAAAAGACATGATCAAATATATGACATGATAGGGGAAAAAATCATAGGAATTGACAAAAAAAAAGTTGAAAAACATGTTGCATGAACTTTTTTCTACAAATATCTTCTAAAACATTGTCTCAAACTCCCCATGCTTAAAGCACAAGCAAAAGAACAGGAAAGAAGCAGGGGAAATAAAAATCAGTAAGTCACTGCTTGGGATGGTGCCTTAGTGGGAGGAAATGGGATGGGACTTTTGATGCTGACCTCCCATCAGCTCAATTATTCAGCTTAGGACTTTTACCTGTCATTGCTAATTGAAAAAGCCTTTTTGTTGCGTTTATAAATTAATAATTTAAACAAATTTATGATATTTTATAAATAATTTTCAGTTATTTGATTTTAATATTAATTAATTTATTTAATTTTAAAAATATTTTTTATAATTTAACGGTCTAAAGTTATCCAAAAATATTACAGTATCAGAAAAATTATAACCACTGAAAATATAAACAAGAGTTTACTGCCCGGAATAAGACCAAAACCCATTGAGATTTCCCACATTAGTTTGTATTTATATCTTTTTTAATATTTTTTTGAACAATATGCTATGTTGGCAACCTTTGATTGGACATAAATTCTAGCATTTGGCATGGATAATTGAGCTTCTGCAGTAAAGAATAACCAAAACCAGCCTCATTCCGATGAGGAAATGGGGACCAATCTGTGGGTTTCCAGTTACCAAAGGACCGGGGACCAACCTACCTGTACTACATCAGCCTGGATTCCCCCCGACCTCACCCCCCACACCATAAACATTTTGACCTTTCAGGACTCTTTAACCCTAAAAAACAATGGGTGAATATTGTAAACTCGAATCCCCCCATTCCCCTTTGCCCTTTTTGATCTTGGATTTCCTAAGTTAGAAACCTTATCTTATTTTCCTGGAAAATCTCTCAAAACTCTGCCCTTTCACTGTTTCATCATTCATTCGGCTTGTTGATCATTCGTTTATCTTTTCGGCTCGTTTTATCCTTTTAAGCAACCTTCCAACATGTTCTAAAGTTCTTTACAAGATTGAGATTTATCATATAAATGTCATAAAGTACATACTAGTTTTCAGGATCAAGCACTGATCACTTGGGCCAAAGAGTTTAAGCTTATGGCAGAAGTGCAACTTAATTTTCTTAGGTATCAGCAGCGCAGAGCCTAGCACTAAGTGACTGATGGACATGAGAGACTGCATCATTGTAGCATCGTGAGTTGGCTAGTCACATTCTCCATCCTCAGTCACTCATACAATTGATGATCAACTCAAAGAATGATTGCTGGTCCCATAACCAATAATCTCCCCCAGTAATAACCTGGGAGTCGAACCTGCAGTCTCACTCTAACACCAATTTTCAAAACCAAGTGCTTATCCCTGCTGCTAAAAACTTAATTAAACAATATCTTCGTTTGGATTTGATGTGAGAGAAAGGTAACTTTGATTAACAATTTAATCGCTAATTACCAATCTTTCTTATTAAATTCTTCCGCATGAAACGGTGCAAATGATGGGAGCTCCCCCCACCTGGCATTGTTGAATTCCCTTGCAAGGTGTGCATTAAATTGCTTTGCGCAGACAACCACATGAGCTATGGCAATACACATAAAAAAACAAAAAAAAAGGAAACACATATATATTTAAAAAGCAAAAGAAAAATAAAAAAAATGAAAAGAGAAAAGGTGAGCCACGTACCAAATTTGTACAAATATTATTATAATAAAGAAGAGGAATCTTTCCATAAATGGAAAGACTCCTAAATCGTTTAAGCAGTCATTATCATTCCCAACAGCTCCATATTAAAAACCCTTAAGAGGGAAGAGGGGCTGAGTGGTAGACAATAACTTTGGAAATTATTTTTTATTTATTAAAAAAAAATGACAATTCATTTGTAGGGTAGCATCGTACGCGTGTGTCCTTCCACCGTCTTTGTAATCAAGTGAAAATTAATTTCATTTAAATCAATATAACAATTGAATGTTAAAATTATCTTGAATTAGTAAATAAATTTGCATTTTAATGATTGTTAAAATTATCTTGAATTAGTAAATAAATTTGCATTTTAATGATTGTTAAAATTATCTTGAATTAGTAAATAAATTTGCATTTTAATAATAATATTAAAATGTAATTTTTATTATTATATGTAGTCTTTATATTATATAATATAATCAAATTTATAAAAATATTATTAAAAAATATACAAAAATGTGTTATTAAAAATATACAGTCGTGAATCAAATCAAATTTGATACAGTGATTTGTCATTTTTGTAATATAAAATATTGTCGATGAAGCCTAATTAAAGTTTGAATTTTTTTTTTTTCGAAACTCAAATTTGATAATACCGATTTGAGTGATTTATTTATTTAATTGTAAATTAAATGTTAGTGTTTCAAATTGTACGGCTAGAACAGTTGAATTTGGGTGCGTATGTGAAAGAGACTATCATCATCAATTAAGGGAGGGCGGGAGGAGCTTATCCAAGTCATTGACTTGCCAATTAATATTTTGCACTTAAAATGGGACCTAGCAAAGTTGATGGAAGCATATATATTTTTATGATAGGGATATTTTGGGTTTTTTAATTTAAAAAAATTATATTTCAACACTTTATTTTGGTGAGTTTGTAAATAAATTAATCACTTGAACAGGCTGTAAATTGAAGTAAGCACCAATATATATCTCTAATTTGACATTCATTATATATATATATATATATAAAAAAAACAAATGAAAGTAACCCATTGTTTTTTCTAAATTGAATAAGAAAATGGGAGAATATTAGACAAATATAATACAAATCTTCACCAAACTCTATACCCACCTTTTCTAATACTTTGACCGTCCCTAAATGTTACGAAATTAAGATAAAAATTTTGATTTTGATATATTTTATGAAAATTTAAAATAATAAGTGTTTAAAAAAAGTGGATTTTCTTTTGAAATATCTAAAATATTCAAAGAAAAGATGGATAATGAGAAAGGGATGGACGAGAATAATTTATATTTGTAGATAAAAGAAATGATTTTTGCTTGCTTTTCAAATTATTGTTTTGCTACCTAACCTATTGTCTTGATTTTGGATTTTGTGTATAAGTAATGACAATCTTAGAATACCTTAGTCTTAATTATAGCTTTTTAATACAAGGGAGAATCTCCCTTTGTTTTTCTTTATCTCCATTAGCTTGAGGTTATTAAACAATCCTTGCTATGATTAATTAATTTAATTTATAGATAATTTTAAAAATTAACATATTTAATTGTTTCTTTAGCAAAGCCAAGGGTAGAGCATCCCCATTAACTTTGGACCATTCTCCAAGCAGATTCTTTGGTCCCTTTTCTCTTTCTTTCTTTCTTTGTCCTCTTTTTTGAAAAGGCTCTTTTTGCATAATGAGGCCTAATAATTCTAAGATTTTTTATTTTTTTTTTGCTTTTTGAATAGTTCCAATGTTCACTAAGCCAATAACTTTCTAAATTATATTTGATTCGATAGTTTTCGAATGAAAAGAATAAAAAAAATTTTAATTTAGACATGTAATACTCTTATTTTTTATATTATAAATTTATTTTTCATGATTTGTTTTTCTTTTTCATATAATAAAATTATAGAACATCAATATTATATAAACAATTTAAAATTCTAATATAAAATATATAAAATCAATATTTTTTATTTTAATTTCAGTCCAAATAAGAAAACGAACATTTAGGCATGGAAGAAATATGTGATTTTCATATTAAAAAAATATAAACTAAGTGGGGCAATGGGAAGATGGTGGGTTGTTCCCAATTGAACTTTGAGTATATGAATTATTCAATCTATTTTTGGCATTATGGCTATTTTTTATAATTTTTTAATATTGGAAGTTGTCACAATACCTAACTATTCTGTTAAAATTTGATTAATAAAATAAAAAACGTATAATGGCTAATTTGATAATTTAGTGTGTGCTATTTCTTTTAGGTTTTTAGGTCTGGCCACTTAGATGTGGCAGTTTAGGTAAAGATAAAAGCATTAAGTTCTACACAAATTTAAAAGATTAGACCATGACATTCACACACATTTATAATAATCTTTTTTTAATTAAAGATGAAGAGTATGCATGCTTATAGTTCAGACCATAGCTTAATCATGCATTATTTGGATAATTAAATTGAAAGATTAACATATAAAATCTCAGCGGCAAAGATAAAACCAAAAGCTAAAATTTCCCAAAAAGGTCTTACCCTAATCTAAAATAATTAAATCTGAGTTGACTAAAAGAAATCAAAGCAGAATTTATATCATATAAATTTGCAAGCTGGGGTCAAAACCAATGAGTTTTGTGGCTCATTCTCATAATGAAACCTTTTCCTTCACCATTAATTAATAGACTATTAAGACTATTAATTAACTACACCTACAAGATATACTCCATCTATATCTAGTCTTAACTCTTTTTTTTTATTTAATTTTTTATATAATCTAATCTCAACTTGACTGGTATAATATGTTGTAATGGATTATCAATTTTATTATGAACATTTAAACAAAAGCAAGTGTAAAAAGGTAAATAAAATCTAAAGACAAATAAAAAAGCCTTGACCAAATCCTATGCATGTGAATTTTTTACCTTATAGATTTTGCTTCCTTCCTTTATTGATATCTCTAGCACCAATAATGATGGAGACCTAAGTTTGGTGCTGATAATGATCTATATACAATTCCAATCAATTGCCTTTTCTTACATATATGATTGATGATGGAGGTAAGAGAAAGAGAGAAGTATGTGGGAATGCAATCAAAATTATATTTTGAAGAGCAATTTTGCTATATATCTATGTAATGTATTAAACTCAAATGATCATATTCAATAAAATCTCGAATTTAATGTATAAATGTATGTACGTGTGAATATGTAAAATTAATCAAATTAATTAAAATTTTAAATTTAATATATAATTGTATGTGTGTGAACACGTAGAATTAATTATATTAATGAAATCTTGATTTTATATATAAATGTATCGCGAAAAGATAGATATTCTTCCAACTTTGCAAATGCTAAAATGTATGTGCAAATCAAAGCTTTGAAAACAAAAAAAAATTTGCATAAAACCAACTATCAAATTTCGATGACAAGAGACAAACATCTCACGTGCTACAGCTAAATGTCAACACTGAGCACCATGGCCAAGGTTGGTCTCTTCTTAGAGAAAATGACTAGAAAACCCAGCACCCACTTCCATTCACCAACCAGCCAATTGCACATTGTCCCTTTCATTTTCCGTCTTTCGATTGGCCATCCCTTTCGACACTACATTTGGGCATAGAAAAAGAGCTTTGCTTTGGCCGAAGCAGCGCCCACAAAACCCCGTTTTCACCAATCACAACTGGGCAGCTTTGACCACTCCCGCTCCTGTTTCTCTCTGCCCTTACACCCTGCTAAATTCTCTGTTTCATAGATGTAAGCAGTGCAAGATATAACTCAATGGGGTTGGCATATTTCTATGCACTTCTTTCACACACTCTCTCTTTAGTCTCTTTGCTTTTGCTCTAACCTCCAAAGGGAATATAAAAGCTGAGAAGAAAAAGCGAAACATTTCCCCACTTTTTAGCACTCTAATCCTCTGGAAGCTCTCTGTTTTGCTTCTGTTTTCTTTTGTTTTTTTTCCCTCCTTTCATGGATTTTTAGTGGTTTTTTTCGAGCTTTAAGTCTTTTAATCGATGATTTGGGTTTTCTAATTTTGATCTGTATATTGATTTTCCTGTTGTTTTATGTGATTTTGGATCTGCTAGGGTTTTTCATCAACATACATCAAGATCTGCTTTTTTTCTTTTATATTTTTCCTACTCAATTCTCGGATTTTCCTTGGGTTTTGGAAAGTTAAACTTTTGGAGATTCCTCAATTTAATCTTATGTGAAAAAAGGGTACTCGGATTCCGTTTCAATGCTTTCATGATTTGATACTTCTTTGCCCATTTAAAGCAGCCACTTCTCTGCATTTTTCTATCTTGGTTTTTCTCTCTCTTTGAACATTTCATTCAAAGAGGGAGAAAAGCAAAGGTCTTTTTTTTTTTTTTTAAACGGGCAAATCAACTGTTGGCAGTTAGATAACTAGAAAAAAAAAGGAGAGAAATGATGAATCGGGGACTTGAAGTTCTATCTCCAGCGTCTTATTTACAGACTTCCAATTGGTTGTTTCAAGAGAGCAGAGGTACTAAATGGACTCCTGAAGAGAACAAGTGTTTTGAAAATGCTCTGGCTTTGTATGATAAAGACACCCCTGACCGCTGGTTTAAGGTGGCAGCTATGATTCCTGGAAAAACAGTTGGGGATGTGATCAAACAGTACAGAGAATTGGAAGAGGATGTTAGTGATATAGAAGCTGGGTTAATACCAATTCCTGGATATAGCAGTGATTCTTTTACATTGGAGTGGGTTAATGATAGTCAGGGCTTTGATGGATTTAGACAATATTACACTCCAGGTGGAAAAAGAGGGGCGGGGACTCGGCCTTCTGATCAAGAAAGGAAGAAAGGAGTGCCATGGACTGAAGAAGAGCACAGGTAATTGCTTCATTTTGTTGACTATTATGTCTCTGACAAGTTTGGATGTCATTTTAACTATGATTGGACGAATTAGTCTTTAGGATATCAAGTTATGTTTGGTATAAGTAAAATTTGTAGAGTTAAACCTGTAATCGGAGTATGCTTTCGTTGACTGGAAGATAATGGATGTAAAACGTTTTAGAGATAAACAATCTGAAATTTATGGTAGGAATGGACAATTTCTGATTCATCCTTTCAATTGTGTGAATGTTGACAATGTAGTTGGTAGACACTATGCATGTTTGGTTTGTGGATGTCTCTTTTCTTACCTGTCTGATTCTGTACTTCATTGGTTTAGCATCCTCTAGCAGCTCATGATGTTTTCCAACTTGATGATTGATGACAGGCAATTTCTAATGGGGCTTAAAAAGTATGGTAAAGGGGATTGGAGAAACATATCACGCAATTTCGTGACGACTAGAACACCAACTCAAGTGGCGAGTCATGCTCAAAAATACTTCATCAGGCAGCTCACTGGAGGGAAGGATAAGAGGAGGTCCAGTATCCATGATATCACAACAGTTAACGTCCCCGATACCCCTTCTTCCTCACCAGATCACAGCAAGCCATTGTCTCCAAATAATTCTGCTGCAGTCATGCAGGCACAGCAGCAACCAAAAGTCGCTGGGGTAACTAAAGAGCTATTCGAGTGGAAGCAACAGAATGAAGGAGCTGTTATGGTTTTCAACCAGACGAGTGGCAATGCCTTCCTTTCCCCTTTCTGTGGGATTTCTTCATATGGACCCAAGGTGGATGAACAAAATTTCCTAAGGGGTACTCTTCCCAGATCTCAATTTGGATCTTACAACACTCTTTTCCAGATGCAGTCAATGCAGCGTCAGTAAATTCATAGATGAAAGTGGTGGAAGATTTCTGAAGGGTATTAATTAATGAGATGAAGATCTAGCCTAACAGTGATGTCACCTAGCTTTGTCCATGCCACATGTGTATATGATGAATGATGCAAATTAGTCCATAGTTATCACTCTACAGAGAGATCAGTTAGGTCGTTTTGTGATTTTATCATTCAAAATTCTGGATCATTGAACCAAAAAAGGAAGCTTATTTACAATGAAAGCTTGGGCCTTTATTGCTTCTACCTCGTGTGTTTGCATCATCTGGTTGTCACCACTTATTCTCAGATTGATTGCGTGTGTTCTATAAATGCCGCCATGTGGGTCAGAGTCCTCTGCAAAATGATAGACTGTACTAAAGGCTTAAAACTTGATAATGGACTCCAATAATTCAGATTCACTTGCTTCAAGTGTGATGTTGTCCTCACCTTAAGTTCACATCATGAACAAAGTGAAGAAATCAAAGGGATCTTTCTTTGGTCTTTTAGCCACGAGGCTTTATCTTCTTGTTGCTTATGATTTGTGGTGAAGCATGTATAAGCCATTTCTTAAACCTATATACCAAAATTCAGTCCTAAGCGAAGATCATATGGAGAGAAAAGTCTAAAAGATGAAACCAATCTACTTCCTGGTTGAAGGAGGGCTGGAGGGGCAAAAGCATATCTAAAAATACTGTAAAGGAATATCCAGAAAACCTTCTATGCTTCAACAGGAGACTGCAAAGTGGAAGCAGTTGATTTGGACAATATATGCCATGTCAACTGTAGCTTAGTCCGAGTCATTATGCATGCCTTTTTTAATGATATGGTTTCATGACTGTGCTTAATGCTGATGCCTTCTCCGCAAATTTGGGTTTATATTTAGTTAAATTCTTATGCCAGACATCTAATTTAAAACCAATTGATAATAGATGAAGAAGCTACCACCACGTTGATACATTTTAATGACAAATATAAATGAAATTTCCTCATTGCCAAAAAAGAAAAAGAGAGTAAATGGTAGTTTAATCAGTTGACTGATCTTGGCAATAGAATCTTGACGGAAGTCTAGACTAAGAACCACTAATTCAAGCATCTAATTCTTCATCCCACCTTTCTTTTGTTCTCTTATGAGTGTTTTTTATTTCTCCTTTGTTCTCCTGTTCTTCTTTCTAAACTGACTGACTATTTTTTAAAAGACTCCTGATTCTTCAAACCCACTTTTTCCATGGTCATTACAGGAATCTTAGATTAATGATTCTGAAGTCTGCCAAGCTGATGGAAAGGATAGTATTTTGAAAGTCTTCTATCTGATGACTGAATTCCGTGGATTTCATCACCGCCCTCTGCAAATAGGGGCATCTTTCTGCTATTATTGTGGGATTGGAATTTTAACTGAAGAGCATATATATACGTGTGACCACCTTCAGATACTTCTTTGCCTCCATTTTCCTATGCTTTCAGGATGGACCTCAAAGAGTATCATGGTTTTTTCATTTGGTAAACGCACTTAAAATTTGTAAGAATCTTCTCCCTGGTTAGTGCAGTAAGGAGTCCTGATGTGACTAGTAACCAATATTATAAGCTTCCTGCTGTCAGAAATCATCACTGTGAGACTGGGAATTCTAAAGGGAAAAGAAAAAGTTCCGGAACCCCCTTTTTAATTTTGCTTTCCCTTGATGAAAATGAAAATGAAAATGACAAACAAAGAACTCCTGTGGTAGAAAAATGAACAGCAAAGCAGGAGATTCCATTGATCTGAAATCAGCTTTCCCGCAAAACATACTTGTTAAGTTACTATTCAGGTAAAAGAAAGCTTGATGAAAGGAAAGCAATCCCATGAAGGAGAAAAGGGAAATGATAGCTTTCCCTTTACAACAAACTAATAATTTCCTTGCGCTGCTGTTCCACCTGGCTCCATTCTTTTGTTGTTCTTTGCTGCTGGTTGCTGGAGCTGTCACTAAGTTGTTGTTGTTGCTCCAGCAACCTTCATGGAAAAGGCCCGGTGCCCACCATTTTGCTTGCACAATGCACACATAATTTTCGGACCCACCCACTAGACAAACGAATTCAAGGCAACATGGAGCAATACATAAAGTACAATACACTTTTTTTTTTCTCTGATTAATGACAAAACTGTCCACTTTCTTTTTTAAAATGGATTTGCTTTTCTGCAAGTTGCATAGGAAAGCATTTTGGCCACTTTATTCTAATTTTCAATCAACCCCCTCCTCCTCCCCTCCCCATTGAGTCCTTAAGTTGTTTTGAGACCGCACAGATCCCAGTCTCACACCCCCATTTCTTTTCCTTTTCCGCCCCTATCAACATTCAGATTCTTCTTCTCTATGCTTTTTAATTGACCCCTCCTAGGAAATAAGTTTGTAAGAAGAAACTGACAAAGCTTGCTAAGAATCTGCCCTCCCCCTTCACCATGGGTGTATCATTGTAGGACCAGGGTACCAGAGAATAATCTATTGTGGGTTGCCTTTGATACAAATGATAGAAGAGAAGTAAAAGAAGACAGAAAGTGGGGATAATTATTTAACAAACCAACCAATCATCTGATAAAAAAATACTTCTGGCCAAGAACAAAAAAATTGCTTGCTGCACATTTTTTGTGTCCAAAAAGGTGATACAGGTTCTAGCTACGCATGTCTGTATGCAGGATAATGTTAGATGCAAGGAACCCTGGAATGTTGCATCAGCTATGACATTTTCATTCATTTAATTTTGTTGAATTATATTTCCAATTATGAGTGGTTGTTGAGAGAAAAATTTCAATTTCATACCAGAGCCAAGGGAGCTGTGATCTGTTTGATTTTATTTGATGTGAGTGTGCGCTTCCTGTTCCTTGTCATGTCTTTCTTTTATTCACATAATTTGGGGAAAAAAAAAAATAGAACTTCCCTTCTACTTCGTGGCCCTGTCTGCTGCCTGTTGAAGCTCAAATCTCATTGTTTTCACCATCTTGTCCTTTCCCAACCAGCATCTGTCTGAACAGTATGACTAATGAATCAATAGATGCCAGAAACAAACAAGACGCATCAGTTGAAACACAACAAACATCAATGCAGTAACAATTGAAGGTTCTTTCTTCAACAATGGTTCGAGAAAAACAAAACAAACATTCCAGGAGTAAATGACCTCCTTCACATCCTAGTTTTCCACCAACTATATTATCCTGGTAAAATGTTCTCTAATTGAACCAGTGAATTCAGCAGAGCATAAGGTAAAATTTGCATATCTGACATACAAATGGAAATCGAGAAATAATTCAGTTGAACAACCAGCTGTGACCTGTCACCTTTCCGTTCTAATCCTCATTATTGCAACCAATGCCTGCCCTAAGAACCCTTCCATGCATAGGACAAGCGGTTTAATTTTCAGCTCAGGACATAAATGGACTACACTGTCAGGTCTGAGTGGTGAAAATCGTGATGACAACATTTGTCACATCCTTTTTTTCCCCGACCATCAATCAAAGCATATTAGTGGGGAGTAGACTGACGGTAACTGCAAACCACGGAGTTCTCCAAGTTGTTGTCTTGCTACAAGTTATGCTTGTAACTCTACCTTGTAGACATACAAGGACCTCTATCTTGATGTGACCTGTCCTAATGTACTCGAATGTGAAGAACAACAAAACCCTGTTTGTTTGTTTAGAATCACTTGGTTACACGCAAATCGAATTCTGCAGTGGAATCTTGGTTGCTCTTTGATTCTGAAATCGGAGGGCAAAATTTCAGAAAACGAGAAAGCTGTCTTTCATGCATGCTCCATGGAAGGTGTTAAGAATTGAAGGCTGGAAGCTAACTCTAATTAGGATACGCTTCAGCTTGGAGAAGGCAAACGGGGACGCCTTATTGCTGAGTGCGGGCTGGGCTGCTCTGTTGGGTAGGCGACTTCAGTTTCTTAAAAGACCAATAGAGTTTTCATGGGAAACCTGAAAGACCCAATTGTCTATACAAACTAAGGCCCAAACCATGACAAATGAGAATATCAAACATTTATATTTTATGCAGTGTTAACATATAGATTTGTAACCTCGTTATAAATTATTTTAAAATTTTGAAAATGTTTTGAACGTCTATTTTTATACATTTATGAAGTAACACTCTGTTGTTAAATGATAACATATATAAATATTATATATTAACAGTGTATGAAATATATATTCGTATATTAAATATTTTGAAAATTCTCGACTCCATCTCTCTATTTTTTAATATTATAACAATTAATTTTTTCATTGATTTAGAAATCCCAAGTGCAAAACTTGGGAGTTTACCATCTTTATACAGAATTTGATGTACATCCACAAAATATTAATTAATTTTATATATATAGCTCATAAAAAATACTATGACTATATAAAATTACAAAAGTCAACACTTTTATAGTACTATTGGGTAATATTTTTAAATGAGTCTCCTTCATATAGTGTAATAAGAATAAGAGAAGGATTCTCTGTTAATGAATATTAAATTATTTCTTTCATATATTTTCAAATATATTCTAATTATAATTGTATAACAACCTACCATTATGAGAAAAAAAAAAGATTAAAATAAACTAATAAAGCCAAAAGGAAAAGTCATGTAATTGTCCCTAATACTAAATGCAATGTACATGATTATCCTGGGTTAGATCATGAATTATTTACTAATGGCGGTGATGTAACATCCCTAATGACAAACTTTATTGTATTTAATTCCATTGTTTTAATAGGAATGTAGTGTTGACTATAGCATATATCTTTACACGTGTATTACAAAATCATTATTCTCTATTTAAAAAATTAACCTAATAAAGTAAACAGTATCCAAGTTTATAAATTTTTTAAAATCGCTTTATTTATTTGTCCTATATGAGATTAAAATATTTTTTTTATTGAAACATTGAAATAGCTTAAATCTTAGTCATTTAGTTTAGTGTCTAGATTCAGTCGAAAGGCAGGTAGCTGCTCTTTTCTTAGGCACATCTATTTCTCTTTTTTCTAATCGATGGGTTAGTCAATTACTCCATTAATTAACTGTCTTCTATGAGCAATTTAGGGCTTTCTATGTTGTGATAAAACTAGTCATCCACTTCATGTAGAATTCTTTTGTTATTATATATATACACTAGATTTCCTTATCTTCTTTGTTAAGATAGATATGTCTTGGCCTGTTTGGCATTTGTTTTGTTCGTTCTTAAATAAAAGAAGGCAATTAGAGGATGTGTCAACCTTATCTCTAAGTGTTTATTTTAAACTTTTGTAACTTGTA